TAAAAACCTAAAATGAATACCTAAAAGAGAACACGAATTCTTCTTTATGTGTGCTTTCGCAAACTCAGTTCTGAAAAAAACTAATTGTCTTAGTGCTTTGTTAAACTCGAGTTACGTGGTCATTGTTCCCACGACACGGCCATTCACACGGAGATTCAGCTGAGTAAGAGATATTCCAGGAATCCCTTGTCTCGACATGCAGTTAGCATCCAGTTAACATTATATTAATTATCATTCTGTTTGTAGCTCTCGTAAGAGAAATAGGTTTACGGACTTTTATGGCCCCAGTAGTCCCAGTTGACGAATGCGGAATCAATTATTACCTGCGAAAAGATCAAAAAGGTACAGGTGACGAAACAAGAAATTTTGGGGCAGGTGACGAATCACGAATTGACGAAACAAGAACAAATCGTCTTGATGGAACCGTTCTCCTTGTTCCTCACTTACAGCCCCTAGATTTTCGGGAAAGTAGTCCAGATGTGAGTGAAAGACATGGACTTTGACACTCATTTTGCAGCCCAACATTTTGTATTTTTGTATCAATTCACCAACCGAAGTTTTGTAGTTTGGGTCTTTTTTGTTTCCAAGAAAGCCTGTTATCACAAGTTTAAATGAATTCCAAGCATTTTTTCTTTCATTTCCATTTTAGTGACAAAGCTTTCATCTTTAAAAAGTGTTCTCATGTCAGGCCCAACGAAGACTCCTTCTTTCAGTTCAGCATCGGATAGACCAAGAAACTTTTCAGAAAGATACTCGAAACAATCTCCTTCTTTGTCAAATGTTTTCACAAACTGTTTCATTAGCCTCAGTTTGATATGGAGTGGTGAAAGTAAGACTTTTTTAGGATCCACTAAAATATGTTTTTCAACATTTTTAACTCCAGGAATAAGACCCTTTCTTATTGGCCACACTTGTTTGACATAGTGTTGTTTCCTGTCACGGCTATCCCATTCACATAGGAAACATGAAAACTCAGTGTAACTAGGTACTTTGTTGACCTAGTAACATTGAAATAACTTTCAAGTCTCCACAAATGGTCCACTTATGATCAGAGTAGCTGAGTTTATTAATGAATCGATGAAAAGTCTCCATTTCTCTGGTTCATATGTTATGTTGAACATTTCCATGACGCCGGGTACATTGTTGCAGAAAACTAGGTCACCCTATTGTGTAAACAAAGGGATAAATTCCCTCTCTCTAAATCGGTACCATGAAAATGAAACACCGGAAGCTAACATATGTCTTTAAGTCTGGACCCTAAAACTTCTGCTGAGTTCTTTGGGAGACCAAATCGTTCAACTCTGATTGAGAGAAAAGTTCAGGGTCATTGGTCACTGTGTTTTTGCGTCTAAATCGTCTAAAATGTTGTCCAAGGTATCCGGAGGTGAAGGAATAGTCAAGTTAGTTTCATGAGGAACAGGGCGAACAGCTGAACATATGTTGGTGGGGTATGAAATATCCTTTCTGTTTTTTTAATTGAAACCTTGCACTGATCAAGAACAAAAATAACAGTCATCACTGTGACTCTTAGGCTCTCTCCAAACCATGGGTACTCCAAAACAAAATGATTCTTACCTTGAAACCATTGCCTATGTTCTTTAATACACACAGAACACACTATATGGGGAACCCAACCCCTAATTTGATACCAAAGTATGCAAAATACACCTTCTGAACAAAATTAGAAATAATTTTTTGCTGCTTCTTGATGGTATAAGTCCCACAAATATAACAGAAACTGTTATGAGAGTTAACACATCCTCTAGTAGCCATTTCTTCTCAAAACGGTAGCACAAAACTGTTTGATGTGTACACCACAGTGGCTGGCTCCACACTGATCGAGTCAGCGAGTCACTGCCTCGATCAGTGTGGATGCCAGGCGCCCAGCAGACAGTAGGTTTAGGAAGGCAGACAGTCTGACACATACATGCCTTGTTCGAGTAGAAACTGGATTTTCCCAGTTTAGATTCGTTTTGTTATTGAAATAAATAGATCAAAACCGTATTTTATCTTAGATATACACTCAAATTGTATAGTAATTTGTTCATCATAAAATCTCCATAATTCAGACTCAATTTACCGCTTATATAGGCTGTATAATACAGAAACATCGAACCCATACCGAACCTGAAAACAAGCCTAAGGAGGGAGGAGTTACGTGGTCATAGTTCCCACGACACGGCCATTCACACGGAGATTCAGCTGAGTAAGAGATATTCCAGGAATCCCTTATCTCGACATGCAGAACTCGAAATGAATGCCTAGGCTTCTTCGAGCGTGTCTTTAATAACTATTTTCTACATATTCAGTGCTTAATATACCTCATTTTACATTTTGAAGTACCTTCATTTCAAGTACCTGATTTTAACCTGAGTTTGTAATGAATTAAATCACTCGAGCTTATGTCCCAGTTCCCACATTTGAAAAAATATTTAGTAATGGGAAGTTATTCTAATTGATCATTCAGTGAATTACCCGAATTACTGAATCTATTGATTTCTAAACATCCTAGAAGAATGAGTTTCAAACTCTACTCTTCTAAATGTAACACGTCGTATTCATGATTGAACTCATGTCCTACTAAAAGGTGATTTGCAAATGTGGAATTGGTGTTTCTATTTACAAAACTACTTCTATGCTTTTTAATTCTTTGGGAAAAATATTCTCCCTGTTTGGCCAATATACAGTTTTGGGCAAGAGCCACTAGTCACGTTATATAATCCTGATCTGGATCGTGGAAACTGAAACATAATTCATTACAAACTTAGGTGAAAATCAGGTACTTGAAATGTACGTACCTACTTCAAATTGTGAAATTAGGTATATGTACACGCCCGAAGAAGCCATTGTAGGGCGAAACACGTGTTACGTTTTTGTAAAATTGTTTAGTGAAAATCTCAGAAAAAAGTGTTTTTTGAATACTTTAGTTATGGATTTTCATCAAGTATCGGCCAATTCCATTATACACCATCCCTTGATTTAATCAGATATCCGCTATTCATTTCAAAATTTGGCGAATGCCAAATACATTTCTCATGTTTTTATTTTGTTTTAACCTAAATAATAATCAGCAAGCGGTGCATTACATAGTTGACTGCACTGCAAATAGACTTGATACACCCTAGATCGCCCGCGAGTTATTCTTATTGCCTACCCAGAACACGAAGTTGGCAGTCAATGTCGATATTACCTGTTATGTTTTGTTTTGTATCGGACTGATTAAATAATAACGCCATGGTTTGAACACTTGTTGACTTTAATGTAATAATAAATACTTTTGGAACAATCAGTATATACATCCAATGAAGGCCATTCATTACTGGCTGGCACGCAATATTAATTGACCGGTTTAGGGACGACCACCGAAGTGCGACTTTGTCAACTCAATTGTGAATACCAAATGTAAAATATGTAACATTACTAAAAAAAAGAACAAGCAAATTCTGAAAATTGTTTTCCAGCTGATCCTTTCATAACATAAGTTTTCACCGCCGCAGTTACGATTAGAGAAAGTAAGGTAGTAATGTCATTAATCGTTCCCCAACCCGAAACAGATTCAATCCAGTTAACCCAATGTAACTCGCATCCGCCATTGAATTAAAATAATATCAGACATGTAGTTTCCAATGTCAAAATTCAATCGAAACACCAAGATTACAATTATAGATCAAGGTTCTGATGATTTGAAATCAACATTTGAACTCTTATGAAATACGAGTATTTTGAAAGGTTATGAAAACTGTTTTTCCACAAATTTGAAATCTATTCAATAAACATTTAGGATAGTACTTTTTGAGGTCGGATTTTGCTCAAATTGAAATATGAGCTTTTGTTCACTGAAATAAATATTGATTTTAGTAATTCTGTTGAAAGATTTTCAGCAGCTGATCTTCATTTTATAAGATTATAAGCTTTCACGGCCGTAGTTACGATTACAAAAAACTAAATCCGAAATGGTGGGCCGTGGTCGAATCCAACTTGTAGTACAAATCGTTTCGACGGTCAGTTGTTGCTGAAACTTCGAGATTCATGATGATGTATGCAGCAGTAGCAGTCGAAACGTTTGGTTCTACAAGTTCCATTCGACCACGGCCTACCAGTAGGGTGATAAAGATGAGAGTTAATGAATCTATTTTTATATGTGAGTTTCCCATACCATTTCTTGAAATTCATATTTTTTTTTCTGATCTGATCAATTTGCCAAGAATATACTCTGGTACCAGGACCCTTACTTGCCAGACTTGTTCAATTTTCTGAATCTAGCGAGGAGCTGATCAGTGGTCAGTGTGCGACTACCTTCATCAGGCAGGTGATAAACACAAATGTGTAGGTTGGGAAATACGCCTCTAGACATTTCAGGCAAACACTCTTCCAATAGCTGCAGGATACTAACTACATCGACCAGTCAGAAGACATCCAGGCCGGAATGTGCAGCTTTGGAATCATACTTGTGTACTATCTTCCGGAATAATCTATAACCTAACTATAATTTGGCATAGTAAAGAGATTTCAGTTGATTGAGTGATATAGAGGTTGCTCAATCAAGAGTTTTGATGGAGATCATGATGTTGAATCATATGTATTCATTAAATTCCATCCATAAGCATTTTTGCAGAGGGAATTTCAATTCTCATGAAGAATTTTTCCATGAATGACCAATGAAGATTGTACACATCCCAATTTCAGTATATCCCCACCATGATAATATAATAATGAAAGTAAATACATATGGTACTACCACTTTTGACTGTCCTTCATTCAGTGTTCATTATTTAACAAAAAATCAAAAATTAAGCGTCACCGATCACATACAAATTCTATCGTAAAATCGATTATCTTGCAGCATCTGTGATGAACATCATTTACTAATAAGAAACTACAAAGTTCATTATAGAGAATACCTCACTCCTGAAGTAGAGAAATTATTGATGATTGTTCATCATTGGCTGCCGATACATTCTTTTTTGCTTATGTTTTTAATTTTATGTGGTGGCCTGCAGAATGCCTCGCATCTGAATATCGGAGCGACCTGAACACGTTGGGTCGGCTGTATTTGAAAACCGATAGAGCTGGTAAGCTAACACTTTGCCAGCGCTTGTTGCACTCATATTACCATCCTTCATGTCTTGATCATCAGACAGATTTAGTTCATATAGTGAAAACCAAGGTATTTGCTGTATACAACTTTACTGTTCAATTTCGGGCAGTTTTGAACTCTTAAGGTTTATTAGCACACTTCGAGCGTATCCAATGTTTCAATCTTTCAGCATAAGAATGTGGGTATATACGCGGACGACAATGCTATAACGTACATTCTTTCGAAAGTTGTTGCTATAGGTTGTTTAAAAAATTTTCTCCGTTTCATAAGTCTACTTCAAACTTTAATATCATAGTGAATACTAATTCAATTCAATCGAAAAGAGCGCCATTTAAACCAGTGCACTTTTACCAGCGTAACACGCTATTTTCGTAGAGTGATTTGTAAAACGTGCGGACGGGAGTTGTCGTGGAGCATGATCGGATCTTTTCTGTGGACCAGTGCCGGCTGCTGCTGACGCAGTTTTTGGTACATTTTATCGATTCACCCACAATAGAACTCCGCTGTGATGATTTGGCCCAGCTGCAGAAAGTTATAGAGAATCACACCAGCTGCTGACCATCATACAGTAACCATGTTTTTTTGGGGTTTATGCGTTTGAAAAGTGCCTGGGTGGCTCCTTGGTGTCCAGTCACTGTCCTGAACATTTGTTGTCGTAGAGAACCCACATTTCATCACACGTGATGATCCGATCCAAAAACTGATAGTTTTGGTTGCATTTTCTGTCGATTGCGATTGGTCAAATCGTGGGGCACCCACATTTCCAGTTTTTTTTACCTTCCCAATACGTTTCAATTAATCAAAACCGCATGGGAGCTGACGGCCAGTTCTTTCGCCATTCCACGTTGGTGATGGGTCAGTCTCCACTAGGATCCTCAAATCCTCGTCCTGGAATACTGTCGGTCGACTACTTCAGGCTCACTTTCGATGTTAGAATCTCTGAAACGGAATGTCGCTAAACCAACTTAGAATAGTGCGTTCATTAACGCTATCAATGCCAAACGCCCGGTTAATTTTTCGGGCTGTTTCGGCAGCGCTTCGGTTCAATTTGAATTCGTGTAGGAAAATAGGCCGAAAATTGCTCAACGACATCACATACTGATGATTTGTTTGAAGGTGATTGACAATGTTTCATGATGAATTTCATTATTTCGGACTTCCATTGCCTGATATTATGTGATAACCTATGCTTGCGCTTCCCTACATCAGATGATTATCATAAAGGATAAGAAGAATTGGGTCCAAGTACAGTATTAGAACCTGCTTAAGATCAGGAAACACTATCCGTTGCAGCCTCACGAAAACCAGACCACCAAACGCGGACTGCGATTCCAAGAATTGCATTTACCGGATACCCTGTGAATGCGGAAAATTCTATATCGGTGAAACTAGGTGGCCATTGAATGTTTGCATTGCCGAGCACAAGAAACACATACAGCGAGGGGAAACCAGCAAATCAGGAATAGCAGACCATGTTTGGACCCATCAACGTACCATCGAGTGGTCCCAAGCTGAAATCATACACAGGGAGGAACATTGGTTTAGGAGGAAATTCAAAGAAACCGCATACATGTTATCCAACAAAGTATCTCCTACTACACCGGTGAAGCGGAAAATGGTAAGCGGAGATAAGTAAAAGTTCTCGAATGACCCATATCATCTCTCGGAGGAATTGGTCCAGTCATCACCCGAAAACGATTGTAGAGACTAACAATCGAAACGTCGTGAAGTAACTTGGCTTGGAATCTCTTAGTTTTTATTTCGATTTTCTGTTCAATTGTTCTACTTTTATTTGTATTTTATTTCACTGTTATTCCATTTCATATTTTTTTTGCTCAATATAATTGTTATTTTCAGCTATTTTTTTTAATTCTTCTTTTTAGTTCTTTCAGGGATTTCAAATCATTTTATATATTATCAGACAAACATGCGCCAAACAACTGACTGTTATAAGGAAACAAGTATAGCTGAGGCACCAGTCAATCTAATAACAACAAGGATGATCTTCAAACAAGACTCAACCTCTGACAGAAACAAGAAACTTTCGAAGGTTAGAAATAGATGAACATTTCAATCTAGCAGACCACTAGTATAATCTTCATGCAGTCATTATTTACTGTGGTTCTGGCGTTGAATTTGGTCATTATTACGCCTTGGTCAAAGACGAAACGCACTAGTTTAAGTTTGACGATAGTCGTGTCACGAAGCGTTTTGGCGATCTATTGAATCTATTGGAGCCTCTGGAGATACCCTACATTTTGTTTGATGAGAGAGAGGACATTGGCAGATCAAGATCTTCAGATAATGTGGTGCTGCAGGTTTTTTTGCGATTTTATGTAGCTGAAAAAGCAAATGCGCCACTGGAATCAATGAAGTCGCC